TGAATATCTGCCCAAAAAATTTAAATAATTTAAAAAAAGGTCTTTTTGAATCAAATAAGCAATAAAAACCCTTTTGTGACTAAACCAAGCACATAATATAATATGGAAAGTTGTTAATGATAAACTGACATAATGAACACTGAACATATTACAATAATGTTCAAACCTATATCAGTAACATAATGAACATTGAACAAATAATAATGTTCAAACCTATATCAGTAGCCATCATAGCTATATACCTAAAAAGTCACAGAACATAAAATTGTATTGATCTGAATTTAATCCAGTTTATAAAATTAAAATAATACTGTATGGTAACAGAAAAATCAATATACAGTATAATACAGTATTAGTGTGCAGCAAATTTTTCCATTAGACGCTTCATTCATTCATTCATATTAGGGATTTGCCAGGTACTTCCGGCCTGGGTCTTCTCCAGATGGTGACCCGGCGCATTAGACGTTGTTTCACCTAACTCTCGCACAATAAGAAATGCATGTGAACAAACAAACAAATAAACAATTTATTTCTTTGCAAGATTACACTGAGATTATGAAATTACAATAATGAGTTGCAGTGCAAAGTGAGCCACTATCATGCCTAGGCATTATGGACAGACTTAATTTAATGGCTTAAAGACTACTTAATACTAAAGAAATTGATCATAGTTTAAGTTGTACATTTTTTTTTTCATTTATAGTTGGCAATAGAGAACATGTTGCTTGATTTACACACCTTGAATGATGAAATTTACTGCCTGTCTCTCAGCCTGAGCTTGAATAGCTGAATCCTGAGACATTATGCCTGGGAAGAAACGTCGACGATTGAATATTGTTGTGAGAAAACCTTGGGCCTTGCAGAGGTCAACCACATAACGCATGTATCCAGGGATACCAGGAAAATGTTCTGAAGTTTATAAACAGTATGTAAATACTAATGAAGAATAAAAAGCAGAAATAAATAAAAAATCCTAACCATAGATTTGCATCATGTTTCATAGAAAAAAATACAAAAATTTCTTCAGTTTAATAGTGACAAAATTAAATGACAGGTAAAAAGGGAGGTAAGAGGGAAGTCATTCTACTTACTCGTGAAAGATGATATTATGTCTTTAGCTTCATGTAGACTTATGTGAAGCACTTCTGACAATTTTTCTCGTCCAGCTCCGTACATCACAGCATATACAATTCGTTTTGTGCGTTCTCGTTCACTTATTGTCACCTCACTCACGTCTTTAGCCAGCCTATACATTGTGAAACAAGATAAACAATACTGTATGTACAGTATATACACTATATGAAACTGCCACTAGCATGAATATCTCAGAATATGACCTTTCATGGATAATGTAATAAGCGACCAAGATTGTACCGTGCATGCAATGTATAGTTCTATGCTTCATCATACTGTACGATATATACAGGTACTCCTCACTTAATGACCTACCTGTTTAAAGACTGCTTGGACTTACGACCAGCTCTCCAACCAGTGTACTGTATATGTATTTTACTTTTTTATTGTTTTTAATGCCTAGTTCTATTTTTAATATACTGGTGCAAAGGTGACATTAAAACAATATCTAAAGATGATTGACACAAACCCACTACCAATACAGTATGCTTCAAATATCAGTAAGGGGCAGCTACTCGCTTAATGACCAATTCGCTTACTGACCTACTCTTAGGAACGGAACTCAGTCGTTAAGTGAGGAGTATCTATATATACAAAGTACAACATAATAAAGTACCAGCAAAAGATAAAATATTAATAGCTCTAGAAACTAAAAGAACCCGACTATTCTACAATAATGCACTCCCTAGCAATAGAATTGAGCTATAAAGCAGTGTACAAACATTTATGAGCAATAGACTAGCTACAGTATCTAGTTTAACTCCAGACTGCCTCTAGAACTTTCAGGGGCACGTGCCTTCATGGGACACATTCTAGAAGCATTTACACATTTCACACTGTGAGAAGAGGGTGCAACTATAAATATAATGTGTATGTACTTAGATTTTCTTCATTTTATTTCTTCAAATATTGAGGAACGGGTTGGACTGAACTTTGACAACATGCTTAGTAGTAAAGCTGTCGCTTTCTAAATGATGGTTAAATACTTCTACTGCTATGATACATATATTGGTCAAAATACTGTTATCCTACTACTCAAACTGGTTTACATTCTAGGATGAAATATAGACAATAGTTAACAGTCTGTAGTGAAGGACCCTCAGGAGGTTCCTGTGTTGGTGAGGGGCTCTTGTTTAGGGAATGGATCTGTGCTCCAGTTCCCGAATTAAGCCTGAATGCTTCACTACCCCCCCCCCCGGCGCTGTATAATTCAGGTAGCGCTTCCCTTGTTAATAATATATATGTAGTGAAGGAAGGCGGGGTAGGGTCGGCCTAGGAGGGTTGGAGGGAGGGGGTTTAAGGAGGTTTGTTGTGCGAGGGGCTTGGACTTCCATCAGGCATGCGTGAGCGTGTTTGATAGGAGTGAATGGAGACAATGGTTTTAATCTTGACGTGCTGTTGGGTGTGAGAAAGTAACATTTATGAAGGGATCAGTGGAAACCGGCAGGCGCGACTTGAGTTCCTGGAGATGGAAGTACAGTGCCTGCACTCTGAAGGAGGGGTGTTAATGTTGCAGTTTAAAAACTGTAGTGTAAAGCACCCTTCTGGCAAGACAGTGATGGAGTGAATGATGGTGAAAGTTTTTCTTTTTCGGGCCACCCTGCCTTGGTGGGAATCGGCCGGTGTGATAATAAAAAAAAAAAAAATAGTTAACACCGGGTAATAAGTGTGAGCATGAAGCAACACTAGGTGCCACAAAAGCTCTTTTTTACCCCATGATACATACATACTGTATATCAGACTACCACTGTATTTTTCTCAATCATGAGAGGAAAAGCAATAACAGCTTTTATTGGTACTGTATAACTTAAGTTCAAGTATGGTGGCTGTCATCCAAGGGATTATTTTTTGCAGTCGCTGTTTACTATATCATACAGGGTAACCAGATCTTGGCCTCAGGTGATTAACGTGGTGTCATTTTTCAAGCAGCACTGGTCTGAATTGCTGACAGGTTACATGGCTCAGTAACATAAAAGTAGATAAGGTCTCCAGACACTGCTTTGTGGTACTGTATATCAATATTTCTGGATAGAGCTGATGAGTAAATGTTATTTATTGTCACATGTTAGCTATCAGTGAAGTATGATTGAACAAGGAGAATATATGGCCTCAGAGCCAATATTGTTCTAGTAAGAAGAAGCCATAAATTTTTTTTGCCAATAAATAGTCTAAGCAGATATTTGCTACAGTAGTTTCAACTGATGTATAAACTGTGTCAAGTATTTTTATGTATAGACAATGAAATAACTATGAGACACTTCACCGGTCACATATGAAAAGTATCTGTTGAAAATGAAGTGCTATGTGAAAATAACAAAATTGTGATACATATATAAAAAATAGATGGTGGTAATATTCTATTGTACTGTTGTTCTGACTCACCACAAAGCAGAGAGTTGCTTGAATATGTCAGTGAGTTGTGGTTTTTGCTGTCTGAAGCCAGCAAGTAAGACAGCATCCTGAGATAAGTGAGCCAACATTCGCAGCTCGGTTTGCTGAAAATCTGCAGTCACTAAAATATATCCGTCCCTACTACAGAAAAATTCTCGAGCCAACACGACTGTCTCTGTGTATATATATAACATATTATATGTTAACACAAAAAAAATAGTGACATAAAAAGAATGCAAAATGTTACTGAAATAATGAGAGGACAAAAATGATTATCATTATTACGTATATTAAAAAACAAGTACAGGGCAGAAGAGATAACATAGTGATGTATAAAGTCATAGATGGTAGATATTTACAACTGCATAGTAAGGAGGAGGCATAACAGATCATCACCAGACCTTGTATTATTCTCCCTTTAACCCTTTCAGGGTTTCTGACATACTAGTGGTGCTTACGCACCAGGGTTATTGACGTACTAGTACACCTAAATTCTAGCACCTTCAAATCTTGTGAGAGAAAGCTGGCAGACCTACATATGAAAGAATGGGTTAATGTGGTCAGTGTGCACAGTATAAAAAGAATCCTGCAGCACACAGTGCATAATGAGAAAAAAAACTCCGACCATGTTTTTGGTTTAAAACAGCGACTTTGCAGTGTATTTTTGTATGGTATTTATGGTTGTATTTTAGTTTTCCTGGTCTCATTTTATAGAATCGAAGACATATTACAGAAATTGAGATGATTTTGATTGGTTTCATAATGAAAAGTACCTTGAAATTGAGCTCAAAGTAGCAGAAATGTTCGATTTTTACCAAAGTTCAAAAGTAAACAAATCATACCAAGCGTCCAATACACGTCAACTGGTGAGTCTAATATTCTTTCACAAGTGCGCTGATATTATTTATACCATTTCTACACTAATGCAGTAGTCTGCATAACAGTAAATCTTCTATTTTTTGAGAATAAAAATTCAAAGTGGAAAGCAAAAGAGATGCAAGAGGGGCCTGGGGACGTGACTAATGAACAGAGAAAATGTTATTTTAGTGCCAGGAATGTCTGTTTTGTTTGTGGAAAGCAAAAGAGATGCAAGAGGGGCCTGGGGACGTGACTAATGAACAGAGAAAATGTTATTTTAGTGCCAGGAATGTCTGTCTTGTTTATTCTGGACTCTATTTGGAAATTGGCATCTTCTGAAATTTGTGTGAAATTGGCAAAATTGCCAATTTCTGACCACTTAATTGGATAGTTGAAATCAGTAAATGGGTGGTTTCTTGTACTCATTCGATAGAAAAAATGGAGTTCTAGTGAAATAGATATGATTTTTGTCGACTGGTACACTGGAATTGGCCAAAAATAGGGCTCAAAGTGGGCGAAATCACCGATGAGTAAACATCTTCGAGACCGCTAACTTCGCAAGAGCATAATTCCGTAAGTTTTCCATCAAATTTCATACTTTTGGTGTCATTATGATCGGGAAAAGATTCTCTATCATTTCACAAGAAATTTTTTTTTTTTTTTTTTTTTTTCAAAAAAAATTTTTGACCCTGAGAACGAGTTTAGGAGAGGGCCTCTCGACCCTGAAAGGGTTGAGGGGGTGCCTTGCTGCCACTAAAGGGCTCTAAAGAATTAGAGCAGCCCTCCCCTTCCTTGGATCAGACCTGATTGCATCCCATTTCCCTGACACTGTATGGCCCCTATGGCCTCAGTACTTCCCCATAAATAATATATTCATGGGGAAGGTCAAAACCAGTAAATGTCACAGTGCTTGGTAGAATGGGAGGCATCTAGATCCAATTCACAGGAGAATGACAGGTCCAATTCGTTGGCTCAAAAGACCCTCATTAATGTCAAGGAGCCTCCCTTGAGGGAAATGTAATATTATTTTTTATTATTTTTTTATTAACACATCAGCCATCTCCTAAGGCAGGGTGGCCCAAAAAAGAAAAAACTTTCATCCTTCACTCCATCACTGTCTTGCCAGAGGTGCACTGACACTACAGTTATAAAACTGCAACATTAACACTCTTCCTTCAGAGTGCAGGCACTGTACTTTCCATCTCCAGGACTCAAGTCCGGCCTTCCGGTTGCCCTGAATCCCTTTGTGAGTGCTACCTAGCTCACACTCCAACAGCACGTCAAGTCCTAAAATCCATTTGTCTCCATTCGCTCCTATCTAACACACTCACGCATGCTTGCTGGAAGCCCAAGCTCCTCGCACACAAAACCTCTTTACCCTCTCCTTCCAACCCTTCCTAGGCCGACCCCTACCCCGCCTTCCCTCCACTACAGATTTATACACTCTCAAAGTTATTCTATTTTGTTTGTAATAATATAAATAAAGATGCTGGAGGGAAGGGAGTAAGGGACTGTAGGCATGTGGGCTCAATGTGTTCCATATTTTATTCTTTATTCTTATTACAAGGGAAAACATAATTCATTCAAATGAACTGCATTAGGATAGTAGGCCTCTGCAGTACATCTCTAATAACTTTTTTTCCCCCCTGACGTTAATAGTTGATTATGTTCCTTTCATGTGCCTATGAATTATGCTACCACCAGGTATGATTCGACTTGATAGTCTGTTGTGCAGGCAAAATGTAATCTTAATTT